GGTTTTGCTTAAACAAGCGTTTGATAACGATAAAAAAAGGTATGAGTGAACATGAATGGATTTAATCAAAATATGCATATTCATTTCCTTAACATTATCAATTGAAAACAGACGAGTTTTACAAATGAGATTACATTTAATAGAAAGAAATTATAAATGCAAATAAATGATATGATCTAAAGATTTCCAGCTTCGGGGAACTGAGCTTTCCTTTCTTGATTCGCTACTGAGCTAACCATCTTCAGAATTGCTCGTCGAAATCAGTTTGATAATCATCTTCACCTCTATTCTCGGCAATCTCTTCCAAACATGGACTGGTGAACCCACGTGACTGGGTGAAGGAGGATTATTGATCTGAATGCCTTGAGGCATGAGAGAGAACATCTTGGAGTCAAGCAAAGTCTGAATCTTACTTTTGAGCGCCTTATAGTCTTCAGTTGAATGCCCATGTGCCCCAGCATGATAGTCACATTGGGCATTGACATTAAAGTATGGTGGGTATGGAGGAATCACTGGATTTATCTCCTTCAGCACTATCAGTCCACCTTTGATCAAATTTGGCAAGACCTGATTGTACAACATTGGCAACAGAGTGAAATACCTCTATGGCTTTCTTGGCCTTTGTTGGGCGTGCTAACACGAATGAAGGTGATATGACCGTTGATACTGAGGAGGTCCTTGATTTGGATAAGGATATTGTCCTTGTAGAGAAAATGGAATCTGGTACGAAGATCCAAGAGATTGTTGACTCTGAACAGTTGAAATGCATGAGTACTAAGAATGAGGTAGTGGAGATTCCCATATGGAATTATTTTCCTCCTCTCATTCTTCTTGAGAACTGATAATTGATTCAATTTTACTAGCTTGGATGTTTGAAGCATCTTGAATCTTTCCACTTTTGAGGTCGCTCTCGATGCGTTCCCCAACTGATACCAAGTCAGAGAAGTTGGATGTCCCACTGCCAATCATCTTATCTAAGTATGGGCCTTGCAAAGTATCCATGAGCAGGTCGACCAATTCTCTATCCAAGAATGGTAGTTGAACTGGAGAATCTAACTCTCTCCACCTCTGAGCATACCCTATGCAGAATTCATTGTCCTCTTAAGATAAGCCTTGCAACTGTATACGACTATGAGCCATGTCAAGATTGTACTGGTATTGCTTCATAAGGCATTGGCTATATCTGACCATGATTGGATGTGGCTGCTCTCTAGCTGCATGTACTAACTTAGTGATGCCCCACTCAGACTATTCTTAAAACGGCGGATCATAAGCTTGTCGTTACGCATATACAAGGCCATTCTTTTGTAAAATATCACCAAATGTTATTTTGGACAACTATCCCCTTTATACTTCTCAAACTTCGGTGTCTTTAACTTTGGAGATATTACAAGGCCAAGTACCAAACACGTGTTCAAAGCATACAGATCAAGAGCATCAAGACCCTCTATGGCGTTAAGCTTCTCTTCCAATACATGATATCTTTCCATAATCTCAACAGCTCATGGGTCCTTGGTTTTCATCCTTGGGTCCTTGGTGTTCAAAGCATTTTGAATAATTGTTGCACTGCTGACTGAATAAGTTCAAAGGTCTGCTCTAACAAGATAACCATAATATCAGGTTCATAAGTACATACTGATAAGAAAACCAGAAAACCGGGTAGGATGAAGGTTAAGGTTTCTTACAAAACAAACCTGTCCCCTCTTGCATGCAGGTTCTAGTCTTTGACAGAGGCATCCTAACAGATCCTCAGTCTCACGGGATCTCAGGTCGAGAAATGATAATATGTTTACCATTTCTGGTTTGGCATTATCACCAATCAAGGAAGTCTCAACTGACTTCCCATGAACGGTCTCCAGAGTCATAAGCTCTCTATTGGAACATCCTATCATCTGCACCAGATGTGCAGGATAGAATATCTCCAAAGAAAACCTCGTCTGAATGTGAGTCTTGTTTCAACCAAACGTAATTAGATGCTACACACGCCACACGACTATCCACTCTAATCTTATATATGTACTCAAGCCTGGGTAGTGGGCTTATCTCGCATAGAACAATCTCATCCAACAGCACAGCATCAACAGAACAATATGACAACAGTAATCAAATGCAACAAATGTAAGATAATGCAATAATATACAACAAATAAAGCAAATAGAAACATAAATATAAACAACCAATGACAAGAAACGAACAATCTCTAGGATTGACTCGCATAGAGAACCAGAGTCCCCAGTAGAGTCGCCAGTTTTCACAACTGCAAAAAACAACCGGTAGGAAAACCAGAGTCATCACTGAACGTTATTTATTCCGATGGGGGGAAAGGAAACGATCGAATAAACCTTAAAAGGGAAAGGAAAATAGTCTCGCAACCAAATCCTAAGTTCGGGAGTCTATTACGCGAGAGGAAGGTATTAGCAACCCCTCGCGTTCGTTGTACTCAACGGGATCCACTCTTGTTGTTCTAATCAAAGTGTGTGTTTATCTAAAGCTTATCTGTTAACGGATACGTGGGAAAAAGGAAAAATAACAAAAAGGAGACTCTATATGACTTCGTCTTCCTAGGCCTATACATTCCCTCGTGCAATGGAAAAGTCAGAGTCAACGTAGTTCGGAGGACTATGGGTGATGGGGGAAGATTGCTTGCCAAGACTTCTCCGTCTTGTGCCTACGTATCTTTATTCAGATGAGAATGAAGAAATCAGAGCGTTCGTAGTTCGGCCTACGAAAGAAAGGGATAGAAGGGTCTCGATCACACTAGGGCGAGAGAAAAGGCTCGGTGAGTTGGTCTCGATCGCACGAGGGCGAGAGGAAAGGGGAGTTAGTTGTTAATAAGCTCGCCAAGGATAGGGATCCTGGTCCCTACGTATCCTCATTAGGCAATGAGGAATCAGAGCATCCGTAGTTCACGGTACTATAGGTGAGAAAAGGTCACGATTGCACAGGGGCGAGAGAAAAGGTTTGGATCGGTCCTAGTCCCTAAGGGTGCTCCTAGTAATGAAATCACAACGAAGAGGTGCAACTGTGTGCATTAGGTTGATGGTGATGTTAAGAAGCAATCGACTTACAAGGGTGTTTTGAAAATGGCTCGATGATGAATTAAGAATTAGTTTCAAAATGGTTTAGTCTATGCTAGTCCCTAAGGGTACTCCTAGTAAACAAAACCACAATCAAAGAAAAGCAATTAAAGAGCATACATTGAAAAGGGAGCGGGGTACATGTAAAGTACACGGAATTGCGAGAAATAAATGAGGTCATTGTAAGGTAGCCCAAGAGGAAGTCGTGTGTGTGTGTGTGTGTGTGTGTGTGTGTGTGTGTGTGTGTGTGTGTGTGCAAGGTATCCTAAACTAAGCAAGAGTACAGACGAGAATCTTCATGCTAAGGTTTATGTAAAATGTCTGACTCCAATGCTCAGGATAGTAACCACAGTCCACCAATTGAAAGTTTTTTTATGGTTTCGATAATTTTATCATGTTTTTTTCTGTTTTTAATGAGATAAACAAGATATGGGCAATATGACAATATGAACAATATGACAAGATGATAATATAAATAATAATAATATGAACAGGATATATTAAAAGAAAAATAAAGCAGGAGTATATTGAACGAAAATTCAAGATAGTGGTTAATTGTAAATCGTTAATTGTCATTGATTGGATGATCACTTTTCAAATCGGGTCCACTGTAGCGCTATGTTAAGCAATCGTAGCATAATATATGAGGAAGATCATGCTAAGGGAGGCTGGTCAATAACAATGTTTGTGCTAAAACACGATACAGAAATGATATGTAGATCATTCTTTAAAAATCGTGACGCACGAAAAGAAAAGAGAATGGTTTCGTCTTAATCATAAACTTTCGACGATTAATCGAAGGTAACCTATCATAATCCCAAAGTATATAAAATGATCTCGATAATCATTCACTACAAATTTGAAATAATGAAGGTTAAACAACCTCAACAATCGACATTCGTTGTTCTAAAGACCTCATAGACCAAAGATAAAATTGAAGATAAAATCGAAGTGAAAATAAAATTGAAAGAAAAATAAAAATGACATGAAACAAAAGTAATAAAAGATCAAAAATTAAATCAATTGATAAAAATAATGAGAAGTAGAGTAAATGAAAAAAAAACAAATTAAAATAGAAAATAAAAAAAAAACAAGAAAAAATGGGGGAGGCACATACATCAGGAGGTATGAAAAGGAATATGGAATCATATGGGCTTCAAGCCCATCATCCATTTGTAACAAAACCACACGGGTATCAAAAGAAAAAATAAGGGTGAAGAGAAACCAAAAGGGATCCTATGGGCTTCATAAAGCCCATCACCATTTCAATAATGCAATGATACGGTCCACATATCAACACGGCACAGTGAAAATGTCTTTTAAGTTTCTAAGTCAAAATGGAAAGAAACCCCATGGTCAACAAAAACCATCAGCAACATCAACATCCACGACATGTTTAACAAAACAAAACAACACCATAAATTAAAACAAGTTATGTCGAACAAAAAAAATGAAGAACGGCATCTTCAAATTTACAACCTTCGCGAGCGATTCGGTTCTCCCTCCTTTGATTTATCACTTTTTCGCTCGATCTCTCTGTGTTTGTGTTCTCGTCTCAGATTTGGTTTCAATTTGCTTCAAATCAGGTTTTTTAAGGAATTTATGCAGAGTAAACTTGGTTCTGCAGAACTTGGTTTTTTGAGGGATAGAAGGGAGTCATTTATAGGGGAGGGAGAGGGTAATTCCAGGTTTTTGTTGTCGTTTTTGTTTTTATGTCGTTGTTGTGTTTCATGTTTTTTTTGCAAAATTGGTTATTGTTGTTGTGCGTATTGAGTGCGCAAATGAAGTCTTGCAGGTTTGTATTTTGCTCAGGTGGTCACTTTGCTATTTGTGCGTGATTTTTGTTTTATTTGGAAGTTGGCGTATTCGTTTTGTGGGGTCATGTTTTATTGTGATGCAGGTAATCGTTGTGTTGAAATTGCATCATGTTGCAGAATGGTGTGAGCTGATGCGTGAGGCTTGTGAATTGGCTGGGAATGGCATGGTATTGATTTCTGGATAGTGGCTTTGTGAAGCTGCGTAGCTTGGCTCGTGGCTTGGATGAAATTTCAAGGAGGTACACAAGTAACTTACTGCGTAATTGTTGCGCTCATGGTTTGTATGTGACGATTTTGCTGGATGTGGCGTGATGGATTCTTGTGGTGGCATGAAAGGTTTTGTTGTATGTAACAAAGCTTTGTGGGTCGTGTCACGTTGCTCTTTGATGTGTAGTAGCAACTTCATGACTTTTTCCTTCTTTTTTCAATTTGCTCTCATTTTTGTTTTGATTATGGGATTTGGTCTTGGTATTTTTTGTAATGAATTTTATTTGGTAAAACTTTGGTATTGAACCTGGTTGAAGCAATTTTGGCATTTATTTGATAACGGCTCAATGGGTTTTTTGTTTATGAAATAGACTTTCCCTTTGAACCACATGCTGGAATGACTTTGAATTTGAATCATTTGACATTTGACATTTGTCATTCTTGACCTTGTAATCCAATTTGAATATAGCTTTAAATTTGCAATTTGAACCTCCATGTGATGAAATGTAACTGGATCAGCCTTTAAAGCCTATGAACTTTAGATTGAATAAAAGTTTTGAATTTTTAATTGCCTTGAACCTTCGTATAGACACCAGTTTATCACAAACCTAAGCTAATCCTGAACGGAGAATGACCTGATGCCTTGAATCAGTAGATACACCTGAACTTTGCCACTTGCACTAATGAACCAACTATTGCACCATGAACCAAATGAGCAATTGTGATGTGAACTGCATTACAAATCCTCCAAAACCCTAATTGAGATGAACAACCTCCATATGAATCTCAATCATATAGCACCTGCTTTGGCATTAACTGAGAACTTGTTTTACTCACAACTGACCTAACTTAACACACAAACCCTTAATTGAAACCTTTGGCACACATCACCTGAATTGTGCACACCCTGGCCTTGCTCTCGAAACTAACCCTTTTGCCTGACAAAGATTGGGTCAAATTTGGCGATTCTCAATCCATATTGCACATGCTCCTGAGGCATAAACTTAGGCAACAAGGAAATGAAAGTGGAAGAACATTTTGATATCCAATGATCCTCAATTGATGGAATGTCCACAAACTCAACCATGAATAAGAAACCATAAGTCACCTTGAATGCACACTGATGAAGAAAACAACCTGAGATGTTGACAATCAACAAAACCCTAGTCCCTCAGTCTCAATTAGAGCCATGATGAAATCTTAATCACTTGATGCCTCTTGAGAAATCTTAAAGCAGATAGACTTGATACTTGATGAATCGGATAAGAAGATACTCATGAGGTTGGGAGTTCAACCTTTTTCTCAATCTTGAGTGTAATAGCCAGATAAATCACCTATGAATAAGGAAAACTCAAATCACAAGAATTGCTTTGATCCATGTTTTTAGGAGTTCAATGAAATTCATGATTGCAAAGTTATGACCTAATGGAGATACATATGAATGTGAAGCACAAGTCAGTTAAGGTTAGGAAAAGAGAGGACAAATTTTAAGGTCCAACAGATGGTCATCATATTTTATGAAAATTTCAAATTCATCCCTAAAATTTTCAAAAAATTACAAATAAATCCCTAATAATTTTTAAATTTTATGTATTAGTCTCTTCAAATTTTCAAAAATTACAAATTAGTCCCTATTTTTCATATTTTAAATTTGGCTCAAATTTTAAAATTTATGAAACTGATCCCAAAAATTTAACAATGAATCATTTTAATACTCCATCTAAACAAAAAAATAATAAAAATGAATAAATTTCAAGTGAATCATTTAAATTATTTAGAATTTTGAATTCCTTAAAAATTCTCAATTACCTCATTCAAACACATTCTAATAGTGTGTTTGGATAAAACATTTTATTAAGGAAAAGTAACCTTTTAAGGGAATTTAAAATGACTCGATCAAAATTTATTATTTGAATAAAAAAATATAGAGAATTGTTAAAATGATACAAATTTATAAAATATTGTATTTACGTTAAATTTAAGAAATCTCAAATAACATCTACAAGTAAAGAATTTGAAATTGTCTCACACTATATATAATACAAATTTTAATTGTTTATTATTAATTTTTCAAAATTGTAAGATGGTCCTCATATTTCATTAAAATTTCAAATTCACTTTCAAATTTTTTAAAGAATCGCAAATAAGTCTCTAAAATTTTCAAATTTTACAAATTAGTCCCTTCAAACTTTCAAAAAGTGGAAATTGATCCTTATTTTTTCATATTATAAATTTGGGTCAAAAAAGTTTAACAATAAATCATTTTAATACTTCATCCAAACAAAAAAAATTTAAAATAATTAAAATTCAATCAATCGAATTGCTTAGAATTTTAAATTACCTATAAATTCTCAATTACTTCATTCAAACACATTCCAAATTAAATATATGAATCATTTCTCTTATATAATACAACACTTTCTCAATTCCTAATCGGTGTGGAGCTTAATCACCCACACTTAAATTTCCACGAGAAGCCTGAAAACTACAACTTCCTCCTCCTACCATAATTTCTCACAAGATCTTTCACACCTATGAAAGATCAAAACTTCTTGAATCGTATAAGTTTTATGATCCTATGTTGGACCTTAAACCAACTATAACAATTAACGATGAAGTAACTGAAGTACAAGAAGAAAATGAGAGATTATTGTATCATTACAAGCATAAGTCCCCTTTTCCAACTAACAAGCTCGTTTACTTATAATGCAAGTAAACCGATAGAAATAGTTAGTTAAGCAAAATAACTTCTAACCTTACCAACAAACTTGTATCCTAATCTATTTAGTAGTAACTAACTTTACATATTTTATTACAACTAACAAATTCAAGTTTTGGATTCAAAGTTCAATTTGTTTCAGTAGTTCTTTTATAAAAAGTAGCAACCGAATAAGAAAAACCGGAAGATAAGAGTATGAAACACATAATAGATACTAAAGGGGGGCTTTGGAAAAAAAATTAGTATAATCATATATCAGGATGATGGAGCAAGAATATGCATGGATTGGGATATTATACAAGTCCCACTTGAAAAGAAAAGGATCTCTCTCACCTTTAACGTTTTCGACCCAAGTGAAGTGGTTGTTTGCACTTTTATTCACTTCAAAATTAGAAGGAAAAAAGGGTCAATAAGTTAACGTAAAAGAACAACGATAATCATTACTGAAAAGCCCATTCATCTACTTTTGAAGAACATCGTGGTATCTTCAAATATCAATAAGACGACAAAAAATCTTTGTAACATCTCCTGAAAAATCACCCTATGTGTTTCAATCTGAAAATATACTTTCCAAAGGTAAAAATTGTGGATTCCGAAAGTATACTTCCAATGTGATTTGGACGGTGGAAAAAGAAGATCCTATCTAACCTTGTGCGAATATCCAATTAACTCAGTGAACAAGTACCAAGCAAATAGAAACACATTACTTACCTTAAACTATGCCATGATTATTAGAAACATAGATTGCCTGACGTAGAATGCAACATCAGAGTTTAATTTCAAAACATCAATCCACTCAAACCATTTTCCGGGAAATATCAAAAGTAAACCAAAAAAGAAAACCTATCTAGTATCCGATCAAATATATTCGTAAGATGCCACAAAAATGCATAGCCGCCGCTAAAACAAGGCCCCGATTATGTTTAAATTTGAAATCCAGACTCCAAGAGTAGAGTGAGACTAACTGCATCAGATCCTGGGCCAGAGAATTGAATTGGACCTACAGAGAAAATACCATGAGAACCGAACTTATTACATAATTAGGATGAAATCCAGTTCAACATTGAAGTTGATTTAAACCTATATCATCTTTCTAGTACACTAAACTTGTCAATTTAAGCAGAAAAAAAAACATGAATTTCTTTAAGTGAAGGCAAACAAACCAAAAGGTGAAAAACCAGTGAGTACAAACCTGGACTGATGTAGCAATTCTTCAGGGCCCATTCATCACGCAAGGAGGCAAACTTTCTGAAAGGTTCCCCTGAACAATCCAACATGAAATATAGTCAGTATGGGAGAAAGTTACAAGTCACTGCTTTAAGGAGGCGTCAAGCCATAAACATTAAGGGTTTAAGGAATACATACCTTCAAGCTCTACCATTGCCTTCTTGATCACAGGCTTAAACTTACCTGCAAAGAAAATTACATATTCATATACAGCAAAACAATGAAAAAATGCATTTTCATACAAAATCATAATGTAACATACTAAAACTACCTACAATTTTAGAGTAACAATTATCAAACAAGAACAAAATGAGTGAATGAATGATTATCCAAAAAAACTTATAACATAAAATGCATTTGATGAATAATCAGAGTTATCAACGGATCTAAGTTGGCTATAACATTGAAACAAAATACTATTTTGCATGGATTCTAATTTAGTGAAAAGAAGTATTTAAGCAAAGCTCCTGAAGATCAAAATGTGTACCATGTCTCCTCTCCACATCCATGAGTGAGGTGAGTGCAGTTCCACCAACCGTCCACTCTTCTACTGGAGCACATAAATTTCCAACCTGATTGAAGTATCATAGCAAAATCAATTAAATTGATGAGTTTGGTACATATGAAACTAACAATTTGAAATAGCAATTAGTTATAAATATCAATCTAGAAGAAAATTTTAAGTTGATAAAGGAAGCATAAAGGCATAAATAAGAGCACAAACCGATGATATTAGTCCAGTCTTGCCACTATGAAGGAGGGCTCCAGCACCATAACCAAGAGCATAGCAATAATTAGCATCAAAATTTGTTGGCAACCCACATCTACCTTCATAACTGCACATTTTAAACAAATCTGGGTTGGCAAAGAACATGCATACCATGCATACGATCAAAAGAAAATTTAATCCACGTAAATGATGTTATATAAAAGCTATGTATCTATAACATCTGTTTGCATCATATAAATGTTTAATAGAGTTTACAACATGGAATAATAATATAAAATTAGATAACTTACCCGAAAAAGTGAGACTGCCCTTTGAATTCTCCTTTATACTTTCCTTCTTGTTTCCTCTTTCCCAACTCAGTTTCAGCCATTTCGATAAGCATTTTCTCTGTTTCAATTTTGGCAACCTAAATGTGAACAAACAATGTTAATGATGCCAATTCGGATTGCATAAATGACAAATAAACACAAAATATAGTGCAATGCAACTTTAGGTACCTGAACATTTCCATGTGGATCTCTTTCAAGCAACAATTGTTCTTGGATTGCTTGAGGTAAAAAGTCAAAAAGCTCCAATGATTGATCGGTGAGTTTCTTCTTCCATAAACCAGCCTCATCAACGGTATCATGAGCCAGAATTTCATTAAGTTCTGCAATAAGATGCTGGACCTGCAAATAGAACAATAGCATGTATGTTCATTTCATACTGATTGTACAATTAAGAACCAACAACACATAATTGCAAGTCCTTAAAGTGAAAATTGTGATTCAGAGTGATAGGCACCTCAGGAATGAAATCAATTAGACCTTCAGGGATAAGAATGACCCCATAGTTATAATTAACTTCAGCTCTTTTACAGATAACATCGACAATATAGTCGGTGACATTTTTCAGTGTCAGCTTCTTTGCAGCCACCTGCAATGCATATTTACAGTTCAAAAATTGATAAAAAGCTTTTGGCCAATTAGCAAACTTCAACACCAACATAAACATGGAAGCATTTTGAATTTATTTATTTCAAACCTCTTCTCCAATAATAGTAATGTTTGGATGAGTTTGTAGAGCACATTCCAGTGTAATGTGGGAAGCTGCACGCCCCATAAGCCGCACAACTGCAAACACAGAAAACAATTAGCTGGTTACAAATATGATACCTCACATCCACCATATGAATTGAAGAATTGAAGTATTGTTTGTTTTAGGAGAAGTTACATAATATTAAGGAATTTAATAAAGAAAGCTCTGAGAAGTACAGAACCATTTTCTATCAATCTAATGTTGAGGTGAGGGCATAGTTGATATTCATTTTAAGACTCGATAAAGTGCCATGAAATTAGATAAACCCTTCAGCAGCACAAAACATGGGTAAGTATTATTACTCAGAAAAGTCGGTTCAATAGTAGAAGAATCATATTACAAGAGAAATGTTCATAGCACAAACCGCAAGGGTGTGGATGCATCATTTCGCACTAAATAACATTACAAGAAAAATGATCATATCACAAATCACAAGGGCATGGATGCATCATTTCTCGCTAAAAACTAGAACGGATGATATAGTACAAATGAAGAGAGGAACTAGTGAAGATAAGGATAGCCATCCATCACCATCCTGTCAATGTTTTGCTTTAGTAAAAGCAAGGAGGTGAAGAAAATGAAAAATATTAGTAATAAGTAATTTGCAAACCCTAAACCCATATAGGTATTGGAATATGGTTTTGCTATCTTGACAGCTATACTGGCAATCTTAGACAAAACAATAGGGAAAAAATGAACCACGGGCTTTCACGATACAATTAAAACAAATTATAGCAGCAGGTCTGAGGGTTAAAATGTTTAAAAAGTAAAGCATCCGTGATGTAAGATTATGGGATATTAACAGCAAGCGATGTCTGGAGAATGGAGATGCATTAAACATTGATATGTACAACCTTGCAAAGTCTTTAGTTTTTAATTGACGTATAAATAACAGAGTTTATCAAATTCATGTACTCACAATGGTAATATTTTCCGGTTGATCGGGCATCTATCATAACGTTTCCAATCATTTCTGCATATATCTGAATCAAATTAACATAAAAACATGAAAATAAGTCAGATCATGAAGTCATGTGAATATGCAACGCACTTAGCAAATGGAAAAAATGCATTGCTAAACTAATATTTAGGAACATTTCTGGGAGAAAATATTAAATAAATTAATATCATAATGACACTGCAATAATTTATAAACCAAACACAAGTGGTAGAAACAGCCATGGCAATTCAATGTTTCTTTTTAAATAAATAAAAAACTATATATTTGAAATAGATGATGATGGTGGTGGAGAACAGAATATTTCATGAAATCTGTACTGCAGGAGAAACTGCGATGCACCTGGTTCTTTCAAAAGAATACTAATATACTACCACGGATGAAAATAAAAAATGGGCTCTTACATCTATTCCTTTGCAAACTAAAGGTGTGATCAGAAGACAAAACTACACATTTGAAATGTTTAAGTACGGACTAGACTGATAAAATGTTACACATGCACAATGAAGACTGAGATGTGTATCTCCATTCACCTTGCAAGCAGTATCAAACCCAAAGCTTGTGGGAACTTCTTTACTTTTCAGATCACCATCAATGGTTTTGGGGCATCCAAGCACCTGAGTTTTTAAATTTTTGCTTCTGCACAGATCCAAACTAAAGTATGAGAAAAACATTAATATAGAACAAATTTCCCTTCAAATTAATATTTCAACTTATTACATGATAGACAGAATGGTCCAAACATTGATGAATATAAATTACAAACCAACATGAAATGTTAGGTTATACAAAAAAATAAAACTATAAGGCAAACCTGAAGTTCTCGGCGAGGAGGCATGCATTGGTGTTGGAGTCATCTCCACCAATAACAACAAGCCCATCCAAGTCTAGCTTCTTTGCTGTTTCCTCAGCTTGTTTAAACTATATCAAGTAAATTAAAATTACATTTAAAGAATATATAAAAAAATTTATGATAGCTCTAATCCTAAATATGTAGCCTCACGGCCCTTACCTGCTCTGGAGTTTCAATCTTGTCCCTCCCACTGCAAATCATGTCAAAACCACCCTGGAAAAAAAATTAGTATATTAATTAAGTATCAAAAAGTTGTGATCATTTTGCAAAACCAAGATTTACACACAAACATGTCGAGAGAAAGAAAGAGCAATAACCATGTTCATTATAAAATATTCACATGCATAAGCCAAAATTAGAAACAGGTAAAAATCTCAGATTATCTTAGTCGGCCTCAAAAGTTGCAATATAAAGTATACATTGCGGCAACAGGTAAAATCTATTTCAAATATCCTCTTGTTAAAACAAAAGCAAGGCATCAATTAAGCGAAGATATGTATGATATCAAACAATAAAAAATCACGAAAAATTCAACTAAACAAATACAATTACATTCCAAAAAACTTGTAATCGAGAAAAGTAAATAATAAACACCTGATTTCTGTAAGGATAAATATACTCAGAATTAAGTTCAGTGTATTTGCACTTCATAATGCCGGCAGGACCACCTTTGAAACCATACAATGTGCTTCCACTTGCACGTTGTTGAAGGTAATCTAAAATGCAAAAATCAAAATCAAAACCTACTAAAGACAAATATGTATGAATATCTACATCTATTATTTACAACTATAACGTCATGCTAATAAGTTTCTTAAAGGAAATTTTGTAATGAACCGATCAAAAGAAATTCTGTTTTGCAAAGTAATGAGTATATTTCTATTTTATTCAAAAGTTCCTTTTCATTATTCATTAAACAATGCCTAAATCAGCATTTTTCTTATCTATAAGTATACATTAATTGATTGATTAATTTGGATTGAAATCGATAGTTACCGTAAATTCCAGATATAACATTATGACCACCGGGAGCCTGTCCACCGGAGAGAACAACGCCAATCTTCAACTTCCGATGAGGAAGCGCATTGACTGAATCAGAAGGCACCAAAGCAGCGGAAGGTTGTCCAAACAAAAATGGAAACAGTTTCGCGATCTCATCTGCATGAAAAGAACAACAATGAAGATATTTAACAGCAACAGAAAACCAGATCAAGTACAGATCGAAGTGAAGGATGATGATTTACCTGGATTTCCGGCGGCGGAGCTTTTAGGACCATCGACAATGGCGAACGGTGTTTGGAGAACGGAAGGAAGACGGAGTTTGTGATCGACGCGGCTATTTTGGACTTCGCTATAGACGGAAGCGAAGCGAGTTGTGACGGTGGGAGTTCCGTTTCCGTTACTTACGATGGAAGCTGGTGCCATTGTTTGTTGAGAGAGTGAGAGAAAGAGTGTTGTTGTTGTTGAGAAGTGGTGTGAAGCGTGAATCTAGATACTGTTTTATTTTTTCAAAGAGATCAGAAAGTAGGTTTGAAAAGGGTACTACTAACTAATTTAAATATAAAAAATAAAAATAAAAATAAAACGAGAAAAGACACACTTTCGAACCCGAATATACAGATCCGCCGATTTTTTAGCTACTATTAATGTCATTGTCGTATGAAAAAAGAGTCTTATCTTTTTCTTTTGGAATATTTTTGGATTGATTTTGATTGAATGGAGATAAAATTATCTTTATAAAGAAATTGCTTTTTATTTTCTATTGAGAAATTTTAAAATGTTTGGATAACTTGATTGATAATCGAAGTATACAAATAATTTTGTTGATATGTTTTATAAATTATATTATATGTTTTAAACCTAAATAAAAAATGTTAATTTTTAAAAATTATAATATTTAACTTTAAGTATATTTTGGTCAATATTTTATTAGTTTTAAGTTAAATGAATTTGACTGTGCTAAAACTTATTTCCTCCGCTTTTCTCTAACATATTGCACTCATTTTCTCTCTTAAAACCAATTGTTTCTTTTTAGACGTATCATCGGAGTAATTCTATGTTGGTGGTTTCTATACAAGATTCAGTATAATAATATTGTTTTTCTCTGTTTCTCTGCTTATTCATATAGGCATTTGGTTTCGGTGTTCAGTTATAATTGTTGGTGTTGCTTTTCATCTAACGCCTGCAATAGTTTTTGGATAAAAAAGAAAGAATTTCGTGTTTTTAGATAGATCTGGTTTGTCGATTTTGTTTCGTTTCAGGTGTGATTTACCGATTTGGATTCGAATGTTACTCTGTTCGTCGAATCGTTCTTTCAATTCACGTTGCCTTTTGTTAGTTATTCGGACCCTTAACTGAGATGAGTTGATATTTTCTTCTTCATTTTCTGTTTCGCAGTTTTGGCTTGTTTGACTAAAAATGATCGTTATTGCTTGTTGGATTTTGTTAGCGAATTGTTGGTTAATGATCTCGTTACTGTGTTGGCGGTCGGGTTTATTCATCGTTTTCAAAATTTGTGTTTGGTGTTGGTCACTTTAGGTTTCATACTTTTTGCAATTTAGTTGTGCACTTTTACATGGGTTCACTGGAATGCGCATGTGATGTGTAAGTGTCTCGCTACGATTGAGATTTATTTAGCTTGCAAGAACTTTTATGTTTATTGTGATCTCTTTTAGGGAGTTGTTGGCACTTTAATTGATTTATGTTGGCTCTTGAATTTATTTATGTTGGCGTTCGTTGATCCATCATCAATTAAAATTGTGCACAACGCCTTTTTTACTATCTAGTTTTATGCAAATTTGCTCGATAGTACATGTGTTGTGTGTTTTTACTTTTCTTTTTTTCTTTTAGCCCACTAATATTATAGTTGTAATCTATTTAAATTGTTTACTAGTTTTTTATGTGGTATAACTGAGTCAGGTATTTCTTTCCTTAGTGTCTTGTAATTTTTTTTATTTAATTTACTTGTTGTTTAAAAATAAATTGACAAAATGTGTCGATCAACTAGACTAAAGTTTTAGACATGAATCTTTTAGCATGTTTGATATCGTGGGTAAGAATTTTTTGTGGACTTCTAAACATTAAAAAGAAAAATTACAAATTTTAAGCTTTAGGATATCAAAACTCACATGTGTATGTTAGCCCTTCTCCACTTTCATTTTTATAGGATAGGTCAAGTTTTTATTTTCGCGCCCTAAATTATATTTGGTTCATTCTATTTTTGATGAACTTTTTTTACATGAGGAACATAAACAAATAAACGGATGTGGCATTTACCACCCTAAAAATATAGGCTTAATCTCTTAAAATATTATTCTCTAAAAATTAAAAAATCAAACTTATATATATATATATATATATATATATATATATATATATATATATATATATATATATATATATATATATATATATATATATATATATATATATATATATATATATATATATATATATATATATATATATATATATATATATATATATATATATATATATATAAGAAACATGTTTTGAAATGAGATAAGATATAGTATCAAAAAGTATAAGTTTTTTCTTTTTGAATCATCAAAACTTATATGTTGAGATACAGTAATTGGATAAATTATATTCACAAAAATTTAAAAAGCACATTTGAAACTTATAAACATAATTGCAGTGTTTGGATCACACTTGCAAATTATGATTTTGTTTTGATAAATCGTTATAATGTTAACTTTATGGTTTTATATATTTTTTCCAAAGAATTTGTAATATATTGAACAGAGCACTTTACCTTATATCAAAAGCTCTCCTAAATTGAGTGATTGGTAGGTGAAGCCATTTATCTCCACCTAACACCAATAAGCATAAACCTTTATTTGGTGTACTGTCATTAAGTAAAGGTATGTTCTAAAAAGATATCACTTGGTTTCAAAAACGAATTAGGTGAAGCAAAAGTTAGGCCCTAGGTGAAGCCAATTGATACGCCCTAGTTAACTAACAAGATCCGAGTTTAAACCTTTGCCTGTGTCTTTCGCAGTTAAGGTTTGAGCAATGTACTTGTATGAAATACAAGTATCTTGTTAAGAGGATGATAGAACTCTTCTAAAGTTATATTGGAAAGTGCATAACAAAAATGTGCATTAGAAAGCTACTAACTCTAATTCTCTTATATATTTAAATAAAAATCTGCTAATTTTATTAATCCACTAACTCTCCTCAAGTATTACTAATTCCACATTTCTCCTCACTTTTAATTAAAATTCTAATTTATTCCCTAAAACTCAATTTTTCATTATTTATATTATTTAAATAATTAAAAACTAGTGATAATTTTAATAACATTTCACCTAATTAACCAGAAGAGTTAAAGGTCTAAAGCTCGTCAAAGTTAAGCCCAATGATGGCAACTCTACATCGAAGGAAGCCTTCGAGGCATACTTCTACATGTTCTACAATTGCATAATATTCATTTCGACTATGACCTATTTCATTAGACGAGGCTACGGACCAAACTAGTTTAGGAAGGCGTTCTGAACCTCTTCATCTGACGAACAGAGAAAAATTCATGACATTTTGATGGAATTTTTTGAACTCTCTTCCTTGTCGACTAAATTGTGTTCTTCCAAGTCAAGTATCTGGGTGGCTGCTTATCAGCCAAATTTAGTAGCCAAGTATTTTGGCTTCAGCTAATTCTTGCCAACGTCCCTTATTGCAAAAGAATAGTCGATCTTCGTTGTTGTCGATGAGCTAGATGAAGAATGGCTTCAAAAGTGTTTAAAAATTTTTAATAAAAAGGTTTTACATCTCAATCCTTTTGAATTCTCTCATTCATTCCATTGTACAGATGAATTTGAAGACTGGTGGTTTGTCTACTATTGAGGCGTGACAGATCTTGTAGTTATGGTTCAACGCCTAACATGTGCTTTTTCATTTCTATAGAATTAGACAAATAAAAGCAAAGGGACGCACATCAAGGAAATTCAAGCATGCCATCATTATTTTGAAACTGTATATAATCTTTGTGATATTCAATAAACCATCTATGATGCAATTGTTACCTTAAAATATAAACTTATTGAAAAACTTCAAATTTTGAAAATTCCTTCCTATCTAGAAGATATGTCTAAATTTGCTTTAAACTTGTTGTTTTCTAAAATTCCACCATTGTCAACTTGTGAATTTGGCTTGGCCTTTCGACCACAAATTTCATACTGCTTCCATGTGGGTCTTTATCAGTTTTAAATAATGAGTTTACAAAGCCTCTCTATATAGTAGTATCAACTAAACATCACATGGATAATTATAGAGGTAATTTCCATGTTAATATTAAACATATTCAAGTCTTTGAATTTGTTTCAAAAGGTGAAATACAAGACTCTTAGGAAAAATTTGAACTTCCTTTGTTTCCCTTTTACTCACTTATATTGACCTATTTCAGCCATACCCATCAATCCAAAGGAATCTAAGAAACGACCAATATAGTCAAGTAACAAAAAATCATGGTCTGATCCGACCATAGAGACAACACAAGTAGACTTTCACACCTTTTTCTATTAGGAGTATACACATTTTGCAGGCTTACTCATCCTTATCTTTTTCTTTCAGGGACGAAAGAGAGGGAACACTTCCATCACTGTAGCCCAAGCTAAGAAGAAAAACAAGCAGAACAAAGAAATGAAGTCCCTAACAATAAAGAAACACGAGTTTAACTTACCTTCTTGTTCTCTTTCACTTCTTCATATTTATCATTTATCATACTAACCATGTAGAATAACTTAATATGCACAAAAAGAGACAGAGTTAATGGATGAGAGTGAAGAAAGTTTACACTCGACTCAACCCATCCCTCCAAAACATCTAACTACTGCGTTTATTATTGCTGCAACCTTAAATTTTAAAGATAGGGGAAAAGACAAGGCTTTTGTTGAGACCTCTAGGAATCGACAAAAGAAGAAAAAGAAAACAAATAAGCAAACTTCTAAGGTGATCCCCAAAAAGGTCAGGAAGGAAACTGTGGTCACCTTCGACGATGAAGGGAATGTTGAAAAGGAAAGCCCTCAACTAACAAAAAAGAAAATAAAGTGAACCCCACCATGTCGATCTGCCAAACGCCCAGGGAGTGCCACCTCAATTCCATATTTTTATGTTATTGAGGTATCTTCAACTTATTTTCATTCCCTTTCAATTAAAGAAACCAGAGGCGCCTAATTTATTCAATTTTATACTTGACTTCGAGTTGTTTCTTGAGGAAACCATTTAGAATATATGGCTTAAAGAGGAATTAGCTATTAGGCTTGATTGACAGATTAATTTCATGACTGGACAATGGAACTTTTCACCCAATCTGAAATTCGATTTAATGAGTTAGAGATGAAGGTCAAAGAGCCTAAGGAATAGTTGGCCACTTGTGAAGAAAACATTCTGCATTGGACTCGACAAAT